TCTTCTTCTTCTTCTTCTAAACTCGCATATAATTTTGCTAACGATGAAACGGACTTGCCCAGAGCCTATCGCATCCATTCTTCCCACTATCAGGACAGAAGCAACATGGGGGACGGACATAGTAGCTTGCAAGACGCGGGTCTTATCTGTCCACATAAAAAACGCACTCGTTCTTAATTCCATATGGTGGGGTCTCATAGCCCCCCCCGGCAAATGAGTATAGCGTAAACAATTGCATTAACAAGAGAAGCCATTACAGCCTGATCTTCGGTTTCGAGTACGAGCCTGTTATAACGTAAGTGGGTAATTTACGAAACCACGACGCTTAGAGCCTTACATATGTTTGTACTGAGGAAATTGGGTACCCATTACAGGGCAGGTTTGACCACCATTTCTTTCGTCTTTTCAGTGTGTTAATGGGACGTCAGAGCCAAAGTGCTTGGAGGCGAACTACGCTTCAATGTTTGACTCGGCATGAAGTCATGCATGAGTTCGGACCTCATGAAAGATAACACGACGACCATAAAAGAAACGCGCTGAGTGAGCCTTGAGCAGTTAAGTCAGCTACCGACCATTCGGGTTGGTTTCAGGAGCCTTAGACTGAAGATAGCGAGAAGCACGTTAACACATACCTCATCATCTGTCTGATGCAAATCTGCTGACGGCCTGAGCACACACGTCCTTAAACTAACACTTATCATGGTCGCAGCGTACGGGGTCGCGTAAACTTCCGTTTCGTCATGTGCGCAGCAAGTGATAGGGCCTCAGAGAGGCTCAGTAAAGGCCGATTCATACAAGTCACGAGTCAAAAGGGTCAATGTGCTAGTCTAGTGCAACATGCACAACAACGATAACGCAACTTGTTTGAGTGGTTATTTGGGCGGATCTTTGACGACAGCACCATGTTACCGCTAAATAATCTCAGTACCGACCGTTGCTTGTGCGTTCGAAAATTTTCTCTAATGCTGTGAAATAAGAACTTCACGTTTTACATGTATAACATGAAGACAAAACTTTGTTGGTCCTGTTGATACTGCGTGTCAATTGTCATGCAAAAGCAAGCACTGGTGAGGTTTTTG